CCAAGCAGCATCATAGGAGCAGATCTGCTCCTATGATGCTGCTTGGCCTGCTGTGTTCATCCAGCCCTGCACCTTGTTGTCTCGGATTCTCCAGCATCTGCAGTTCCTACTATCTCTATTACCCACTGTACTTGGATGCTAGCCTTTTGAAATTCACGTTCAAGGCCTCCAAAATCTCATTGTGCTGTATCTTTCGGCAGTCATTCCCATAATATAAGTAAATAATATTCAGGTCTTCTATTCTTCTTGTTAAAGTGTATACCCTCACATTTTCCAACATTATTTTCCATCTGCCAAGATTTTGCCCAGTCCTCTCTGCAGACTCCTTGTGTTATTCTCATTACTGGCCTTCCCGCCTATTTTTATGTCATCCACAAATTTGTTCTGAGGATGGATCACTGGACCCGAAATGTTAACTCTGATTTCTCTCCACAGGTACTATCAGACCTGCTAAGCTTTTCCAGCAATTTCTGTTTTTGGATCCATGTCAGTAATATATATTGTAAATAATTGTAACCCCATACAGATCCCTGTGACTTTCCACTAGTTACAGGTAGCTATCCTGAAAACACCCCTTTAATCCCAACTGTCTTCCACTAGTTAGCCAATCCTCTATCCATACAAAGAACAAAGAACAACACCACAGGAACAGGCCCTTCAGACCTCCAAGCCTGCGCCACCACATTTTGCCCTTCCATACTAAAACTGTCTTCACTTACAGGATCCTTATCCCTCTATTCCCATCCTATTCATGTATTCATCCAAGTGTTTCTTCAATGATGCTATTATGTCTGTTTCCACCACCTCCTCTGGCAATGCGTTCCAGGTATTCACCAACCTTTGTGTGAAAAGCTTGCCTCGCACATCTCTTTTAAATATCCCCCCTCACACCTTGAACCTGTGTCCCCTTGTAATTGACCCCTCCACCCTTGGAAAAAGCCTCATACTTTCCACTGTATCCATGCCATTCACAATCTTGTAAACTTATATTAGGTTGACCCTCAACCTCCTGCGTTCCAGCGAAAACAAACCCAGTCTGTCCAACCTTTCTTCATGGCTAAAATCCCCCATACCAGGCGACATCCTGGTAAACCTTTTCTGTACCCTCTCCAAAGCATTCACATCCTTCTGGTAGTGTGGTGACCAGAATTGTACACAATATTCCAAATGTGGCCTAACTAAAGTTCTATAAAGCTGCAGTATAACTTGTCTAATCCTTATACTCACTGCCCCTTCAAATGAAGGCAAACATACTATGAACCTTTTAGCTACTTTATCTACCTGCACTGCCATCTTCAATGATTTGTGGACCTGCACACCCAGATCCCTCTGCATATTAATACTCCTAAGGGTTCTGCCATTCACTGTATAATTTCCACCTGTACTTGACCTTCCAAAATGCATCACCTCACATTTGTCCGGTTTAAACTCCATCTGTCATTTTTCTGCCCATGCCTCCAATTGATCTATATCATGATATATCTTCTGACAATCCTCATCACTATCTGCATCTCTACCAATCTTTGTATCGTTCGCAAACTTACTAATTAGACCAGCATCATGTGCTTTTATGTTATTAACTAGCCTCACGTGTGGTACCTTATGTAACGGCTTTTGGAAATCTATTCTACCTGCTAATTCCTCAAAGAACTACTCGCTTGAACATATTATAGGTTTCTAAATGCTCTGCTATTACTCCTTGATAACATTTTCCCAAAAACAGATGTCAAGCTATGCGGCTTAAATTACCCCTCTTTTGTCTCCTTTTTTAAATAAGTGTATCACATTGGCAGTTCTCTGATCCACTTGGACCTTTGCGATACACAAGGATTTGTGGATGATTACTATCAGCGCAATGACTATTACAATAGATGTTGCCTTTATCCCAGGCTGCAACCCATTAAGTCCAGGGGTCTTATCAGCCTTTAACCCCATTAGTTTCCTAGTACTTTATTTTTAATCGTAAAGATAGTATTTATCCCCTTCCCGCCCCAAACACCTGCTAACTTCTCCATTATTTACTAAGTTTGGAATGCTATTCTATCATCTACACCGGAGATTGACACAAAATATTTGTTTAACTTCTCCACCATTTCCTGGCTTGCCATTATTAGTTCCCAGGCTCATTCACTAAGGGTCCAATGTTCACTGTTGCCTCTCTCCTTCTTTTTAGAGATTTCAAGAAGCTTATATCATCCATTTTTGTTTTACCAGCCAGTTCACCCTCATAGTTTATTCTTTCCCGCTACTATTGTTTTGTTCATCTTTTGCCGATTTTTAAAACTTCCCCCATTCTCCAGCTGACCACTGATCTTTGACATTGTGATTTTTTTCCCCCAAATTGATACTGTCCATAACATCCCTAGTTAATCATAGATGGTTTAAAGTCTTCCTAGAACCCTCCTTCCTCACTAGGATATATCTTTGCCCTGAGTCATGAACTATTTTTTAAAGTCTGCCAACATTCATCAACTGTCTTATTTTTAAAACTAAATTCCTTTTCAGTTCACCCCAACCAAACCTACCCTTAATTAAAAACAACCAATGCTGGAGGTCACAGCAGGTCACACAGCATCCATGCAGAGAGCAAGTTAATGTTTCGTTAGCTTGCTGCCTCTCCATGGCTGCTGTCTGACCTACTGTGATCTCCAGCATTGGTTGTTTTCTGTACAGATTCCAGCATCTGCAGTAAGTTGCTCCTTCCTTTAATTACATTAGTAAGCATGACATAGGACTCAGAACACACATAGCAAAAGGAATGTACCTGCAATTGATGGAATTGAATTTTGCGTCGTTGAATTCAAGCTGTAATTATGTTCTTCTTCTATGCATTCCTACAGAAGAAAGAGAGTCATATAATAACAATTCTTAACAAAGACACTGATTCTCCAATTCATGCTCTGCAAAAAATTAAGGAGTAGTTCTAGCTTGGTAAAGCCAGTGATCAGTTGTGCCTGAGACTAAGTACTAAAGTGCAGCTCCAGAGTCCAGGGGAGCATAGACTCAAGAGAGGAAGGTGATCAGTCACTGAAGCAGTGGACAACAAAGTAGCTCATGAGATGGAGTTTCAAGGCTAGATTGACAAAAGTGAGCAAATGTAACCTCTTTAAACTTGAAAGAATTAAAAGTTACATGAGAATTGATTATGCACCATAATATTGATGTTTGGAGTAGGGGTGGGGGTGATGGTGAAGAGTTACTAAGAAGCCTATGAGATCTGAATTGAACACATTGCTACTTGGTGCCTGCTGTGGCTTGTTCATCAATGTCAATCACCAATATTTACTACTACAATCTGGGCTGCTAAGAATAAGTTGCAAAAGTATTGAAAACTGCATTACTGTTCTAACACTGCATGATAACGTTTACTGTTGGTTGTTAAAACTGTGGAGGTGTGTGGCTGTATTCTCTCAGTAAGTCTTCTACATCCTCTCTGTCTATTTCAAAAATTGAATTTATTCCTCCTTTGCCAGATTATAACATAATTCGGAAGTCTGGTCAGAGATCATAGCAGCACTAATACTTAATGTTAGATTGATATACATTTCAGTTCAACACAATTACTTTACTGGAATAACGTTCAGTCAACCATTTTCAATTGCCTGTTTTGAGCTAATACCTGAGATAAATTTATACCCCATTAACTTTGAATGATCTATTACTGACTGAGAAAGGATTATCGCACAAGAGAAAAAAAGTGACAGAGCGGATAAAGATTCATAAAATCGTCAAAATGCTGGAAGAGTCCATTCAGCCCATCAAGTCCAAACAGCATCCCACCCAGACCCCTACCCTATCCCTGTAACCACTCATTTACCATAGTTAGCCCACCTAGTCTGCACAACCCTGGACACCATGGGACAATTTTAGCATGGCCAATCCACCTAACCTGCACATCTTTGGACTGTGGGCGGAAAACAGAGCACCTGAAAGAAACCCCTGCAGCCACAGGGAGAACATGCAAACTCCACACAGACCGTTGCGTAAGGCCGGAATCGATCCTGCATCCCTGATACTATGAGGCAGCAGTACTAATCACTGAGCCACTATGCCACCCGGTGGCAGAACAGACAGTAAAGAAAGGCAGTAAAAGTACAAATGTGCAATTTTTCATATCCAGTAGATCTATAATTTGAGAACTGGGGTGTGGTTTATGATAATTACAGATACAAAGTAAAACAGTATCATTACTGAAACAAACAAATCCCACCCAGAAACAGAAAATTTATAAGTACTGCTTGGTTTATAAAACTTGCTATTTTTTCCTTCGTTACAATATAATTTCTTTGCTATATCCTCACAGTGGCTTTGCAAATTTGGCCCAAGTTTGACAGTACATATTTGTTTACCCTTTCTTTCCTCCTTTTTTTTACTGAGGATATGCATGATTATAAAAGATTGATGATCTGCAATTCTTGTGAAAAATAGATATAATTTTGCACATGTCTGTATGTGTGCGTGTGTGGCTGGGGGGGGGGGGGGGGGGGGGGGGGGGGTGGGGTTAGAGTTTTTTATCCATCACTAAGGATTTTGCCATCAATTACTCCAAACGTCCAAAATCTTTAGCAGTTGGTTAGTTGCAATGGTCTGACCTTGGCGGACTAATGATCTTACAGTTCAAGATTTGGTTTCATATACTACGTAAATTCTCACAAAAAGAAAATAATTCCTTTATTTTTGCTTCTCCCCCACTGCTACATATTGCTCAGTGTACATTTGTAAAATTTCTGCATGATCTTATGTAAGATGTATTAGTGTACTGTGCTGGGCGTTGTAACTCCACAGCAGCAGGGTGGAAAATGACATCCAAAGTACGTCGGTATCACCCTGGAGAAAACACTCAGCCACTGGCCTCATCTTGTCAACAACAGACAAAAAATTTTTAAAAAGTAGCAAACCTGATCCAGAAACTGCTGGCATGTTAGCTGGAGCACAACCAGAACACCACTTTGCAGCAGTGATCCGTATTTTGCCGCAGACTATCCATCCAACTCATGATCCTGCAGCCATTACACACATATGGTGGAATTTAGTTGCAAATCCATAATGAGGACAGTGTCAGGAAAGCTTAAATCCATTCCAACTTACTGGATACCATACTCCATGACGACACCAGATTTTGTGTGACAGAAAAAGCCATTTACGAAAATTTGAAAAACCTTCCAAACAAGTGCTTAAAATCATAGAGGCCATTCTGTAGCTGCAGAAGCTAATATTCATCCAATCAGCATTAGCCCACTATCCAGATGGATAGTAATCAATTTCTCATCTGAGGCCCAACAGCAGAGATCCTGAGAACAGTACTCTACTGAATCTTCCCACATATGGGCACAGGGTTCCCAGTTCCAAAGAAACAAAAAACAAAGAACATTACAGCAGAGGAACAGGCCCTTCGGCCCTCCAAGCCTGCGCCGATCCAGATCCTCTATCTAAACCTGTCGCCTATTTTCCAAGGATCCGTATCCCTCTGCTCTCCGCCCATTCATGTATCTGTCTAGATACATCTTAAACAACGCTATTGTGCCCGCCTCTACCACCTCCACTGGCAACGCGTTCCAGGCACCCACCACCCTCTGCGTAAAGAACTTTCCACGCACATCTCCCTTAAACTTTTCCCCTCTCGCCTTGAAATCGTGACCCCTAGTAATTGAGTCCCCCACTCTGGGAAAAAGCTTCTTGCTATCCACCCTGTCTATACCTCTCATGATTTTGTAGACCTCAATCAGGTCCCCCCTCAACCTCCGTCTTTCTAATGTAAATAATCCTAATCTACTCAACCTCTCTTCATAGCTAGTGCCCTCCATACCAGGCAACATCCTGGTGAACCTCCTCTGCACCCTCTCCAAAGCATCCACATCCTTTTGGTAATGTGGTGACCAGAACTGTACGCAGTATTCCAAATGTGATCGAACCAAAGTCCTATACAACTGTAACATGACCTGCCAACTCTTGTACTCAATGCCCCGTCCAATGAATGAAAGCATGCCGTATGCCTTCTTGACCACTCTATCGACCTGCGTTGCCACTTTCAGGGTACAATGGACATGAACACCCAGATCTCTGGTTGAATCTCCATTGGTGAAAGATGAGAAACAATGTGATTGTGGCCATGAATTCCAAACCATGGGACATATTGCATCAATATTCTAGCCAAGAACCATTGAGGGAGATACCTCCTTTTACAATACATCATTGAAGGAGTCAGTCAGTTGGATAACCAAACTAGACAATCCCTTGCAAGTTTTTATCATAATACAGTCACAAGGTGAAAACAACGCTAACCAATACACGAAATTTCTCAACATGTATTGCAAATTCACTTCAGTTAATATATCTTTTTCTATTTGAATCTCGTAAGAATTGTCACAGTGTGCTCTAGATAGTTAGTTGCACAGGAGCAGAGCACAAACTGTAATTCTGATGATTCGTCTCCGTTGTAAATGCTTTCCCGAGAGTTAGAAATACCTATTATCCAAGACCCAACTAAAACATTCAACTTTAGGTCTGAGGCAGACTCAGGTTAGTAGAGCTGTATGGGTCTATGACTTTTTCATACCTGAATAATCTTTCATATGATTTTTTAATGGATTTTTAAAAAATGTTTTGTACATTGATCTGAGAAGGGAAACAAAATACACAAATGTACAATATGAAGAAATTATTTGGTTGATTTCTAAACGCAACCTCCTTTTCAGATCTGTACACCACCACTAGTCACACATCTCCACTTGTGTTTAATAGTCCTTGGTGTAGGATTGAACAAAAGACACTATTGTTTTAAATACTGGACCAAAACCCTAGGCTTTTGACAGAACTTTTAAAATTAAAAAAGGCAGGTGGTCGATGCTCTGGAGAAATACACAGTCACATGGACAGCTGCGTGGAACCATTGTCCAGCTAGAAAATCTAATTCACAACTCAACTCTAAAAGAACAATGAACCAGACCAAAGACAACAACTTAACATGGACATCATGGAGCCTTTACAGATACCAAGACATCCAACTTCAATTAATATTCATTCAAAGAAATTCTGGACATTCCATCTAATTGAAATACATTTACACCTATTCTAAACTATCAGGAAGGCAATTCACCTCAAAACGGGGCAACAGTAACACAATTGAAAAGTGCAGATTTTGGCATCAAGAGAACAGTCCTGCAATTTAGTACAACTGCAGGCCCCAATCTCACCTGAAAAAAACAGAGGGGAAGAAGAAGAGTGATTCACCTCAAGAGCTATTCCCTGCAGCCACCAACAGGAGAAGGACTCTAGAGAGTTACTGCACCAAGAAAGACTCCTACAGCCATCTCCAACCACCGGTGACCGACCATGACCTGCAGACTGAGCAAAACAACCTCTCAGAACCACCAACCTGATCAACACCACGAGACCTCAGACACATGCTGAGGTGAAAACCCGCTCGCAAACCCACGATTACTTAAGAAAACCAAAGCACGCATCAGATACATCCACAACACATCATACTACATCAGCGGACTCAACCCAGACTGAAGGCCTACACCATCCAAAGTCTTCAGTGAAACACCGGCTACAGCAAGCGGGAACGGCCAGCTGCAATTCAAACCACGTCTATCCCCAGTGGGAGCTTATTTCCACGAGACCCCAAAGTATCCAACCTACCTAGCAGGGAGGGGACAGTGGGTTGGTGACAGTGCAGGACACCCAAACTTAGAAAGTCTGATTAAAGTATCTGTAATTAAAGCTACTGCTTAGTTTCTAATAGTGCTTAATCTGTGTTAATAGTATATTTAAGTACTGTCCTCTGAATAACTGATGATAGTGTCAGTTTCACTGTTTTGTATTTTCCTTTTTTTAATCTCTTGTAATATATTCACCTCTGTATTATTTCCTGCTTAGTACATTTGCCTTTTATTTCTTGTGATATATTTACCTTTGCATTTATTAAATGCAGAGATTCTTTGCTCTGAAACATCTGTCTACTGCCTTCTTCACTTCACATTCCTAAATTAAGCCCAGCGTCAGGATCTGGGGGTGATCCGAACCACCTAAAACTGCAGCAGTTTTACTGATCAGAAGCAGAACCCCTACATCGGACTCTGAATTCTTGGTTAAGTAACTGCTTAAAGGTACCTCTCTAATGTCTTGTTTTAGTTAATAAAGTAGTGCTGATGAATTCAATTATTGTTGAGGTTTTCATTTTAACGTCTTTAAACATACACTTCATGCAATCTGCACATGACCTCTTCACCAGGGCTTCTAGTTTTTGCCTCAGTCTAGAAGTCCCTCTTCCCCTGGCCTCAGTTCCTATAACTCCATCTTTACTTTTAAAGTCCCTAGTGCCCTTTGAAAACATCAGAGGTTACAGCTGCTTCGCCCACTCTGCCCTGGCTCCAGGCTTGTTGCATGGCCTGGGTTCCTGCTGCTCATGGCCCAATTGTCACCCCAGTTTGTGCTCCTGCCTGTGCTTTTTTAAACTTAGCCCTGGATCTGTTCTTCAGTTGGTTCTCACTCCTTCATGCAACCTTCCAGTCTACATTGGAAGTCCTGGGCTCCATCTAGTGGCAGAGTTTAGTTCTTGCCAGCTGCATTGAACCTGCCATCAGATGGGGCCTGGCCAATTTAATAGTACTATTAGTGAGTAAATATTTTAAACAATAATGTATTACACTTTGTATAATATTTCTTTAATACTTATTTGATACAATTTATTTTGCACGTTATTTCAGCTGGGAATACAATTCTCTTTTAAACAAAGAACACTCCCAAAATTCATTTTTAGACTCTAGAAGTATTAGCTAGTTTGGCACAAAAACTTTAGGATTCCTTTCGCAAACCACTTTTACACTGCTGATATTTTGATATTTTTAATTTGAGGTTTCAAATCAACTCCCATGCCCCTCCTATTGCTATGCTTTGTGGAACATTTTGGAGCATTTAAGAAGTTAATCAGGGAGGGGTAACAGTAACTTGGCTTGACAGACTTGTGCTTCATAACTTTTCTTTTATTCAACCAGAAAAAACAAAGTTTGACTGTAAACCTTTAGCTGTTATGAAATGGCAAGTTCCCAATTTAACTACTAAATTACAATGAACACGTACAGCACATATCATAAGCAAACAGACAAGGTACGCTGTGGAAGATAACGCAATTGGAAGTGAAATAGCATTATGTTAATAAGTAGCTCATTTGTAGAATGGATACCTACCTTTTTCTGGCATTCTTCAAACTCATAAAAGTTGAAACAATGCATAGAAATGAATGCGGAACTATGTATGTACAAGCCATGTTGACAGGGTAACAAATGCAATTAATCTGTGATTCTGCAGAAATGGTCAAGCAATATTGCTAAACACTATCGCTCCAGACCCATATCAATCAATTACATTCCCCTTCTAGTTGTCACTCTGCTTCTTTTGCCTCTCAGCTGTCTCTTCTCCACAACTGCACCTTCCTTGATCTCCTTTTCCAACTCACCATTACTTTGCAGCAAACATTTTCTGCTACAATCATCCAGATATTCAAAATCCCTTTTCAGTCTGAATTTTGATTTTTTTCATTCACTTGGGGGATGTGGGCTTGCTGGCTGGCCAGAATTTTTGCACCCTGTAACCGGCGAAGGTGCAACGCCTGCCCATTTACCTCCTCCCTCCCCACTATCCAAGGGCCCAAACATACCTTCCAGGTGAAGCAACACTTCACCTGCACTTTCCAGAATCTAGTATACTGCATTCGCTGCTCACAATGTGATCTCCTGTACATTGGGGAAATGAGGCGTAGACTGGGTGACCGCTTCGTAGAACATCTACGTTCTGCTCGCAAAAAAGACCCTGAACTACCTGTTGTCTGCCACTTTAATGCACCACCCTGTTCCCTGGCTAACATTTGTGTCTCTGGCTTGCTGCAGTGTTCCAGTGAAGCTCAGCGCAAGCTGGAAGAACAGGACCTCATTTTCCGCTTAGGGACACTTCAGCCCTCCAGACTCAATAACGAGTTCAATAATTTTAGGGCCTAAACTCTCCCATGTCCCAGCCCACTACCTCACACACCAGGCCTTGTTACCACATGGCCTGCTATTACACACTACCTGTTGTTAGTCACTAATAATCCCCATTAACAACTATTCACCCTCCAGGCCTGATCATCATCAACTCCTTTGTCTGTCCAACTACACTTCTCTCTCTTTAGACTCTATCCTATCGTTTACTCCCTACCCCATCCTCCTCCCCTTTTCTCTGCATATAAACTGACATTTTCCCAGCCACCATCAGTTCTGAGGAAGAGTCACTGGACCTGAAACATTAACTCTGTTTTTTCCTTCACAGATAATGCCAGACCTGCTGAGGTTTTCCAGCAACTTTGTTTTTATTCCTGATTTACAGCATCCACAGTTCTTTTGGTTAGAATTTTGCCCATCCCTAATTGCCCTCGAGAAGGTGGGGGTGAGCTGCCTTCTTGCACTGTTGCAGTCCTCATGCTGTAGGTTGACCCAACATGTCATTATGGTGGGAATGCCAGGATTTTTGATCCCACAAAGATGAAGGAACGGCGATATATTTCCAAGTCAGGATGGTGACTGTTTGGAGGGCAACGTATACGTGGTGTTCCATGCACCTATTGCTCTTCCTAGATGGAAGTAGTTTTCGGTTTGGAAAGTGCTGCCTAAGCATCTTTAAGTATTTTCTGCAGTGCATCTGGTAGAACATACAGCGCTGTTCTTGAGTGTTGGTTGTAGATGCTTGTCGATGTGGTGCCAATCAAGCAGACTGCTTTGTCCTGGACGGTGTCAAGCTTCTTGAGTGTTTTTGGAGCTGCACCCAACCAGGCAATCAGGGAGTATTCCATCACACTCCTGACTTGTGTCTTGTAAATCGTGGTCAGTCGTTGTGGGAGTCAGATGATGAGTTATTCACTGCAGTAATCCAAACCTCTGACCTGCTCTTGTAGGCTCCACATTTAAATGGTGAATCCAGTTGAGCTTCTGGTTAGTGATAACCCCCAGGGATGTTGATAGTGGGGGATTCAGTGATGGCAACACCACTGAAAGTCAAGGGGTGGGGTTAGATAGTTTCTTATTGGAGATGGTCATTGCCTGGCATTTGTGTGGCACAAATACTTGCCACTTGTCAGCCCGAGCTTGGATATTAGCCCGAGCTTGTTGCATTTGAACATAAACTGCTTCAATATCTGAGGAGTCACAAATGGAGCCGACTGTTGTGCAATTATAGGTAAACATCCCCACTTTGGACCTTATGATCAAGGGAAGGTCTTTAATGATGCAGCTAAAGATCCTTGAGCGTAGAACGCTATCCTGAGGAGCTCCCGCAGATGTCCTGGACCTGAGATGACTGACCTCCAACAAACACAACCATCTTCCTATTTGGCAAATATGTATACAACCCGACTTTGTGCCTTCCAGCATTCACACTCACAATTTAATTGCATGACCCATAATGCACTTTTTATGCATTTAGATATTCTTCAGTCCTGTCCGTAATGTCTTAAAGGTCTTAGCTATGGCTCGGTGGTAGCAATCTTTTCTGAGAAGACTGAGAACTCAAGCCTCATTCCACATGCTTAAGTCCACAATCAAGTCATTTCAGTGTAGTACTGAGAAATGCAGCATGTTTTTTGGGCTCAATTTGTTGGACATAAAAGATCTCTGATTAATATTTTAAAGAAAAGCAGTGTTCTGGCCAATATTTATCACTCAATCAATAAAACGAGCACATTATCTCAGTCCTGTGTATGAACCTTACTATGTGAAAATTAACTGCTGCATTTTTTACAATGCAGGCAGTACACTTAAAAAAAAAATCTATTAAAGTGGCTGTAAAGATATTTGTGACATCCTGAGATTGCAAAGGTCCTAACATAAATATTGATTCGATCTTGGCCCCGACCACCAAACTTAAGTTATGATCTGGCTAAGAACCAGAAACTTCTAGCTTTGAAGTAGACAAAGTGAGAGATTCAGGGATTTACTAAGAGAATAAAGTCTCAGGATTCCAGAATTTGCAACAAAACATAAACTTTACGATACAAATTTAGAACAGTAATACAATTTACATGTACACCTTATTTCTAACACCCACAATTAATGTCAGATAAACATGGCTAATAGACTGCGATTGAACACCCTATAGCACACATCAAGTGGCAAACGTGATCAAGACAGATCACCATGGATTTTGCAGCAATTCTTTCCAGACTTTAAAATATTTTGTGTCATCAAATCTCACTAAATTTCACAAAGAATCTCAATGCTTCATGGTCTCCAATCTGGTTTTGAAACTCCCTGTTAAGAGCTGCTCTGTAATGGACTGCCTTAATAACTGCTCTTGTTCTGGTTTATT